AGGCGAGTCGGTCCACGGTTGGAACCCGCCATTACTAGGACAACAACAGGTGAAGGCCTCTTTATGTCTTGTGATTTGAATTTAAACTGAACTGGACCTGACCTCCTCTCTTCCCTTTCAGTTTCCTCCTTTCAATTACCTGAATCCCTTTTGAATCCCCACTAGCAGGCCGTGCTCCCAAATTCTCGTCAGTGGGCATTACCCATCTATCGAAAACCGACAAACCAAGAACCTGGACCATAGGGCTTAGCCTCGAACACCTGAAATACTTCAAGACTTCAAGACCTGACCTGGGGGTTGTTTATCGCTTCCCATCAAGCACACAGGAGGAATGTCAATCACTTCTAACTCAGCTTCGTGACCTCCGTCCCACCTGCACTTTCTCACACCTCATCCTGGGCGATTTCAACGACCCAAATATCGAATGGCCCAGATGCCACTCCAGAGATAGAATTTTTGGTGCATCTCTTATAAACCTCTTCAACGAACACTCGCGGTTTCAACACGTAGTACCTCCCACCAGATACCGTGTCGGCCAACGTTTCTCTTTGCTTGATCTTGCGATTACCAACGAACGACGCCAGATCGACATGACCTCGTACCTAAGTCCTTTTGGTAAAAGTGATCATTTCCTGCTTTCCTTTGACTATTTTATCCGCTGGCCAATTTGCAGGCCCTCTTCCAGAATGCTACGTTCCTTCAAAACGGCCAATTTTGTTCTCTTAAGAGAATTCCTGGCCAACATGCTGGGCTCGTACAATATTGATACTCACCCGAATAACCTAAATGAGTTGCTCCAGAGTCTAATTCACGAGGCAGATTACCTGTTTATTGCTAGAGTTCAATCTGTACCTGACCATGGGCCTCCCCTATCCTGCTGCATTCGGCACCTAATGGACGAGCGAACTCGTTCACTTGCTAGACTAAAATGTACCGGGCTTAACGCCGATGTTGTCGAGTTCAAGCGAATCCGCAAATTATGTAAGCAGAGAGTTAGGTAATTCCACAATGGACAACAGAAAGCAATTCTTCTTCGTGCTAGAAGTAACCCTAATTCCTTATTCAAGTCACTCCGCCGTAAAAGGCAACCAACTTCCTAGACACTAGCCCTCAAGCTACCTGATGGCTCTCCTTTAACCTGCTATGTTCAGGTAGCTGAGATCTTCCGGTCTCATTATGAATCTTTAACTCTTTAACTCCTTTAACTCCCCTCCTTTCTCTTTCCATCCCAATCTTCCCTCTCCTAATGCACCGCCTCCATTAGAACATTTCCTCTTTCTTTCAAAATCACTCTTCAAATCCCTGAATCCCTTTAGTTCGATGGAACCAGACGGCATGCCCCCTCGAGTGTTAAAAGAAGCCTCCTCGGTTCTTCCCCGTACTGTTCCATCCTCTTCCAAAAGTATCTAGATGTTGGAATATTCCCTTCATCTTGGAGAAGAGGCATCATTTCCCCTCAATTTGAAAAAGGATCAACACACTCCAAGTAGTTATAGACCCATCAGCCCGACTGGCGTGCCCTGCGAGGTGTTTGAACGGGTCTTAAAAAGGACAATTCTAAAACACTTAACAGACAATCAGCTTCATTCTCAAACTCAACACGGCTTTCTCCCTGGCAGATCCTACATCTCCAATATGCTATCTGTCATGGAAGGTCTAACACAAGCCCATGATGACAGCTTGATTCCTTACGCAATCTTCAGTGATTTTGCAAAAGCTTTCGATCATGTCCCCCACGCTCCCTTACTCTATAAGCTCGAGTCATATGACCTCAGTGGCAGACTCTTCGCTGTTCTTCGTGATTTTCTCACGAACCGCACCTTCTCGGTTCGCGTAAGTTCATCGCTCTCATCTAACTCTCTCATTTCTACCGGAGCCCCGCAAGGTTTTATCCTTGGCCCTCTCCTCTTTGTTTATATATTAATGACCTCCCACATGATCGGAGTCAATGTCGCGATGTACGCTGATGATATGACAATTTGGGGCACCGACCCGGTGGTTGTTCAGTCAGCAATGGATGCAGTCAGAGACTGGTCTACGGCCTGGAACCCACCAATAAACGATGAGAAAGTCGTTAGTATGTCGTTTGGAAGGGTCCACGTACATAGCTTCAAGACTAACGCTTCCATGACTACGGAGAGTATAGAAAACCATAAGGTCCTTGGTTTCTGGCTGACGGGATTACTTTCGTTCTCTTACCACCAAAAATGCCAGTAGATCCGCCTCCCGTGTTCTTAACTTCCTAAGACGTTCTTTTCCCAGAATAGATAGAGATAACTTTCATCTTCTATATAGCACGTACGTCCGACCCTCATTGAAATACGGGAGTCAAATTGCTCACTCCCGCCTGGCATGCAGTTGTACGGCCCTTGAGGGTGTACAACGGCGGGCGGCGAAACTTGTGCATGGCTTGTCCTCAATCCCTTACCTTACACGCCTTTCCATCTTTAAACTGTACCCCCTTGAAACCCGCCGGATAAGAGGTGACATCTTTCTATTGTACAATCTCTTCAATTCCGGAAGGGTTTTTGACTTCTTTGTGCGCATCAGTAAGGAAAATCTTCGTGGGCATAGCACTAAACTCTTCGAACCGCGTGCCCGTACACTACTCTGTCAGAGCTCTTTCATCCACAGGGTCATTCCTCTTCGGAATAGCCTCCCCGAAGAAGTAGTTAATTCCCCCACAAGATCCGCTTTCAAAAGGAATCTAGACTTGCATCTTGGTGTAATCCCTGAACGGTAAACACTTCCCTGCATCATAGCGTTATTCATGTCATGTTGAGTGCATTTTTTCCTGTACTTCCCGATTTCTTGCACTGTATGCAGATACTGCACACCTCTCCCCTCCTCTTACCTCATTATAGGTGACTTTCTTGTACAAATAGGACACAGACTCACTCTAACTACCTAACATCCGCCCCCAGAAGAAACCTTGGAAACTACTAAGATCTGGGACCATCGGGCCTAGCCTCGCACCCGTGTAATAATCCAAGACTTCAAGATCTGACTGAACACGTATTCTTAAGGACGACTTTCTCCTTATTTACGGGACGTACATCCGCCCTCTCTTAGAATATGGAAGACAAGTTGCACACTCTGGCCTCATCCGAGATCGTGACTGCCTTGAGCGCGTCCAGAGAGCCGCTACAAAATCTGTTCTTGGATTCAGAGACCTCCTCTACCCAACGCGGCTCCAACAACTGGGACTTTACCCGCCGGAAATCAGACGCATTCGGGGAGATCTATTTCTCCTCTACCATCTCTTCGACACGGGCACTGTCGAAACCCTTTTTGTCATTTCTGACTCTCAGCCTACCCGAGGTCATAGCAAAAAGTCTTCAATGCTCGTCCGAGAACCACTCTACGTACCTTATTTTTTTACCTTCAGGGTGATATCCTTATGGAATGACCTTCCAGAAGAGATAGTCAGCGCCCCAGTAAGGCGGTCTTGTAGGAACTAGGTTATCGGTACCCCGTATAGGTTACAAACGTACGTTCGTACGAGAAGAGAACGAGACGATTCGCGAAACGGAGGACGACGTGTATTGTAAAGACCTGCAGAGCAAGGGAGAGATACAGAGGCGTGAGCAAGCGTGCGGAAAGTGAAAGCAAACACGTGCTGGCAAAAGATGTGGCCTTGGTGTGATAAAACAATGAGATGCACAAGAGGAAAGGTACATTGAGAATGGGATGTGAATGATCACTACAGGGCTCCTGCGGTGATACAAGCCTACACAATGGCGCCTATCCTGGAGCGGCGCGTTACAGCTTCAGGACATTGGCAATCAATCAAGTTTGAATGTTGACGTCAATAGCGCGTGCATAGCTTATGAATACACGTCATTGGTGGATGGTGACAGCCAATCCTAGACCATGCAGACAGAAGCAAGAATATGCAAGCAGTGCTGCAATCCAATTGTTTGAAGCCCTGATAGCCAATAATCTCCCTTTGTACATATTATTGAATAACCTTCATATCTTCCAATAAATGAATTACTTACTGTCTATCTTCTGGCCTTTACCTCGCGTCTCGTGGGACATTGCTTCTGCAATCCAGTCCGTGATAGCTGATTATCGATTCGGGTCCGGTAATTCATATTGCGTGGTTGGTGCTCCGGATTCCGTGCGTATTACTACTACTACCACGACTACAATCATTACAGCTCCCCCGCTAGAAGGCCAGAGAGAGCCTTCGATAAGGGTGCATGCATTGTTCGGTGGGGTTTGCAAGTCCCCAAAAAAGGATAGTTTTGTGCATTGCCACGAAAGTATGGGGAATCAGTTCCAGGTGATGTAGCAGGGATTGCTCGCTGAGGTTTTTCTCCCGAGTTAAATTACAGAGCCTGGAAGAGAGCGGAAGAAAAAAAGGTCGAAGCAGCCCTTGTTGGAGCTGATCGGTGAGGCGAAGACAAACGCAATACAAAAAAGGGCAAGGTTTTTTTTGGGGGGGTTGTGTATATATGCATAGAGGAAAAATAAACGTAAACCGTGGTAGAAGAAAAAACAATAAAAACGATGAATGAAAGATTTTTAGTTTTCTTTTTTTGGTTTTTCGCATGCGTATATGAATTTGGGGTGAAAGAAAAATTATCGATATCGCAGACTAAATGTGTTTGTACGTTGTCAAGTGTAAAAACGTGTTACAATGCGAAACGTACAGGTAACTTAAGGACTCTCCCGCGACTGGTGATCCGATGGGGTGGATCGGGAACAGGTGCCTGCTCCAAGGGCGTCGCGGGGTTTACTAGGGTGGAGGGAGCAGGACTTGTTGGGACGGGAGTTACGAGTGGCGCAACGAATGGGGACGATTAGTGCAAGGAACGGTTTCATCCAGGTGCGCAGGTTTGAGTCGGTCAATACTGACGGCCTCACGTTTACCGTTGCGCTCTATTACGTAGGCTTTCTCCAAGCGTCGTAGTACCTTGTGTGAGACGCTGCATTGAGGTTGCAGTGGTGCGCGAAACTCTGCCCTGAGGAAGATATGCAAGCTTTCGGTTAAGCTAGGGGAGGTATGCTAGGGGTGTTTGCTGGCGAGGTGGTTGAATATGCAACTGTTGAATGCGATGTACTAAACGAGCTGCATAGTCACCGTAGTTGAAGGCGGGTGGTGGGGTCGGTACCACCATTTCTCCTGGGAGACGCAATGTGCGACGGAAAGTCAACTCTGCCGGTGTGGACTGCAGCTCAGCTTTGAAGGCTGATCTGCAACCTAAGAGGACTAAGTGTAAAGACGGTAAGCGCGCAGCATCAAAACGCGGCTTGATTCAAAAATTTCGAGGTCATTTGACCGATCCCCATTCTTCAAGCCAACGAAAAAATCCCAACTGGGGACCATTGTCGCTCCAAAAATATTTGGCTTATTACAGATACTAAATATAACGCGGAGATCAATAAGACAGCCAAAAACCAAAATAATTAAAGGGAAATATAATTACCTTAAAAAAATTATTATTCGTTATTATAATTCACGAGTTCTCGTGAGGGACATTTACCCATAACAAATCTTTAGGAATTCCATATAGCATAAACATAACTGTCAAAAGCTATTCTAAATACTATTCTGAAACTTTCAGCCTAAGATCGACGACGAATACGAAATAAAACTAACATTTTGTCAGCTTTCGAAGTGTCCCATAGTGAAATTTTAAAACGAGCTAAACTCCATCAATAAGAACTGCACCTTTCATATAACTGTCAAAAGCTATTCTACGGCGGTTAGGAATCTACCAGACGATACCTCACTATCACTGTGCACCATGTTGCGCATCCTTTGAAAGATGCGCTGCTTCCGAATGTGGGCATACCATTTCTTCTTCTTATACTTAACGAGATGAAAACGACAAAATATCACGTTAGATGACGGAAAATATTCTGAAAACGCGTTGTACTGAGCCAATCTACGATCAGCTACTATAGTCTTGCATTGTGCAAAGACTAGGCACATGGATTTCATGGCTCCCACAGCAGATCTGTAGCTCTCATGGGTCTCATTCGGCAAGATAGTGTAGAAGAAACTTCTACCTAAACCGGTGTCGTCTTCAAGCATAGCATGCCAAAGCACGTACCCGCCACAATTTAGCCGATGTGTGGCGTCAGCTAACAAAACATCATTAAACCTGTCGACGAAGTGCAACATATTCTTGGGAACAAAATAAATGTGACGAACGACGCCTTCGTTCAGCCCTATCGTAATCTCTCCCTGATTCTCCACCATATCCCTAACTTTCACCGCATCGCCACGCGAATCCGATTGAGACTTTCTTTGACGTATGGATCTTATATCTGCCGTAGTTATGGGTCTCTGAAACCTGTGTGTGGCGAAATCCCTTAGCTCGCGAGTACTTCTAAAATCGTCCATCAAAGTACACACTTCCTCTTCCTGTTCTCCAGGTAGACTACGATTACTTATATACAGACCCTGCTGACCCACATGGAAGTCATGATTGTGCACCAGACAACGTTTCATCACTCTGTACTCCCTCCCGACCGCGCGAATTCCAACGAATGCCGAACAATCGATATTCTGCATCCTTAAATGGGTTAAATACATTAGAAATGAGAAGCATAATTACATGGTTGCAGTTGCGCAGCGTCTTCTGTGATGTACACATGAATATTTGATGAAATGATACGGAAAACCCTCAGGCAGAGTCAGTTTACGACCAAACTTTCTTTCCCGTATCAGTTGTTCGACTGTCATTGACGAATAAACGTAGAAGGAAGTGCAAGTAAGTCTTTGGAATTTACGGACGTCCTCCAAGAATCTGTTCGGCGATCCATAGCAATTTTCTACCATCCGTTCAAAAACGACCATATCGTCGACATCAGCCATGGTTGATATGAGCGTGGAAGTGATCGTAGCCATTAGGTTGCAGCATTTATACTTTCCGGACAAAGTCAATGAAGGTTAATTAAAACAAATTAAATTGCAACAAATCACTCAAAATCAGCTTAAAACAAAATCTATTCCATTTCGACTGAATTCGACATCGCCTTTTCTAAAACACATTTAAAAATCTATCGTTTTTTCAAATCCTAATAGTTGGGATGCCACGCCCCTACCGTGAGTGGCTTCATCAGTTGTGCACACTGAGGGATGAAACAACGGTAAAAATTGACCAAACCGTCGAAACGTCGGAGCTGCTTAAACATAGTGGGCTCCGGGTAGTCTATTACCGCCTGGATTTTGTCTTTTAGTGGCTTCATACCAGTGGCTGTGATGTGGTGACCGAGGAAATCAATGTTGGAGGCACCGAAAACACACTTTTGTGCATCGACCGTGACACCGTACTGTGCCAGACGATCAAAAAGTGCTCGGAGGTGTGCCAGATCTTCCTCGCGCGATAAGCTAGCCACTAGGATATCGTCTAAGAAAACATCGACGGAGCCTAACCCCTTACAAAGGTTGTCAATGAAACTTTGGAAGGACTGTGCGACATTGCTTAAACCGAATGGCATTCGGAGGAATTCGAATAGACCAAACGGTGTGACTATGGCTGTTTTGGGGATGTCGGCTTCTTCTACCGGTATCTGGTTGTATGCCCGAACCAGATCGATGCGGCTGAAAAGNGGGGATCGGGTACCTATCCGGGGTTGTCACGCGGTTGAGTGCGCGATAGTCTCCACATGGACGCCAGTCGGTGGACGACTTTTTGGGGACCATGTGTAGAGGGGACGCCTATGGACTGTCTGAGGGGCGTATGATATCCATGTTCAGCATGTGCTGAAACTCTGCGCCGGCGGTGCGTAACTTGTCTGGTGCTAGTCGACGGGCACGTGCGTGGACCGGTAGACCACGAGTGACGATGTGGTGTGACACCTCCGTCGTGATAGGTGGCAGCTCGGTGCTGGGGCGGACGAGGCTATGGAACTCGAGGAATAACGATGAATATGGGGAATTATCGTGTGAAAAAGGGAGGTGTATATTCTGCCTTGCCGAATATACCAGGGAGCCGACGACTACTCTAGAAGTGAGTGGGTCTCTTATCTGTCGTTTGCGGGGATCTACGATTAAACCGTGGTGCTGTAGGAAGTCTAGGCCAAGTATGGCGTAAGGAACGCGAGCGACCACGAAAACCCAAGGTAAGACGCGTCTTAAACCTAGGTCTAAGTTCAATAGCCGCTGTCCATAGGTTTGGATAGGGGTACCGTTGGATGCCTGCAAAGTCAGTGCTGCGGGGTTGGCAGCATCCTGTTTAGTGAACGGAATTATACTGACTTGCGCTCCGGTATCAACCATAAACCTAAGCTTGGACGAGTTATCGTAGATAAAAAGGAGGCGACAAGGGGTAGGAGAGCCGGTTGAGGTAGTCGCCGTGACCTGCCGGCCTACTATTTTCCCTGTTGATTTTTAAACGAACACGGCGGTTCGCACTTCCTAACTTGATTTCCGAAACGTCTGTGGTAATAGCACAGGCCGCATCTGGATGGGGTTCGGCTGTGCCGGTTGTTGGCCCGGGTTCGACTACGGGTCGTGCGGGTTATCTGCAGATTGTTGATGGTGGCCTGCATAGTGACCACGGATAAACGAAGGTCGGCCAACTGCTGAGACAAAAGCTGCACATCTGTCGTGGGCTCGTGCAGGAGCTTACCGGGAGCAGGGTTGGGGGCGACTGATGGACGAAGTCTGGCTCCGGGCTCCCGAAGTTCGCCAAAGAAGGCTGGAAAAGTTGAGCCTGCTTTATTGCTCGGTCAGCGGCCTCAGCTAGTTCGTCTAGACTATGGGCATGTGCAAAAACATTCAGAATACTCTGTACGTATGGCGGAAGCCGTTGAAGCCAAATCTGGCGTAGTATGGAGTCGTCCAATGTGGTGTTGCCGACTAACGCACGCATTTGGCGCAACAACTGGGGCGGTTTGAGGTTTCCCAATTGGATCCCTGGCAGGAGGAGCTGGATGCGCTTCTCTTCGGAAACTGCCATACGACGAAGAATTGCTTGTTTGAGCACGTCGTACGGGTTGTGCGTTGGGATATTCATGTAAATATCCCGGAAGTTGATAAGCATGTCCCGCGGGATCGCGGACAACAGCCTATGATAACGGAACAGTTGACCGGTGTTGCGAGCTTCATGGAATCGCGATTCCAGAAGTGCGAGGAACGCTTCCGGATCCTCCGGCATGAACTAAGAAGCCCTGATTTGGGCCCAGAGTGCCTCGCTGTCAATGGAGTGCTTATGATCGGGGCTAATCATACTTAAGCTCAAATATATAATATGCGATTTTCGAACGGGCTACAAAAAGATTACCGAATAGCACCTAAAATACAAACTACGTTGGAAAACCGAAAGTAGACAAAAAATCCAATAGTAAATGATGATAAATTGAGGGCTCACCAATCTGTAGGAACTAGGTTATCGGTACTCCGAGCTCATAAGTATAGGTCGCAAACGTACGTTCGTACGAGAAGAGAACAAGGCGATTCACGAAACGGAGGACCTGCAGAGCAAGGGAGAGATACAGAGGCGTGAGCAAGCGTGCGGAAATTGAAAGCAAACACGTGCTGAC